AAAAAATAAATAAAAATTATTATTGACTATAGTCATCCTGCTGTGCAATCAAATGCTATGTTTTATTCATGCTTTCTAACTATTTTGCACCTATTAACTATCCCCATCTTCCTCCTAACCCCCTACTAACCTTCCCAGCCCCTAGTAACCATCTTTCTACTCTCTATCTCCATGAATTCAGTTGATTTGATTTTTAAATCCCACAAATAAATGAGAACATAAGATGGTTGTCTTTCTGTGCCTGCCTTTTTTCACTCAATATAATGATCTTCAATTCCATCCATGTTGTTCCAAATGACAGGATTTTATTCTTTTATGGCTAAATAGTACTCCATTGTGTATGTGTACCACATTTTATTTATCCACTCATCTGCTGAGGGACACTTAGGTTGCTTCCAAATCTTGGCTATTGTGAACAGTGCTACAATAAACATGAGAGTGCAGATATCTCTTTAATATGCTGATTTCCTCTCTTTTGGGTATATACCCAGCTCTATATTTAGATTTTTGAAGAACCTCCAAACTGCTCTCCATAGTGGTTGTACTAATTTCATTCTTACCAATAGTGTAGGACGGTTCTACTTTCTCTACATCCTTGCCAGCATTTCTTACTGCCTGTCTTTTGGATATAAGCCATTTTAGCTGGTGTGAGATGATTTCTCACTGCAGTTTTGATTTGCATTTTGCTGATGGTCAGTGATACTGGCCACTTTTTCATTTGCCTGTTTGTTGTTTGTATGTCTTCTTTTGAGAAATGTCTATGCACATCTTTTGCCCATTTTTTCGATTGGATTCTTAGATTTTTCCCTATAGAGTTGTTTGAGCTCCTTACATATTCTGGTTATTAACCCCTTGTCAGATGGGCAGCTTGCAAATATTTTCTCCCATTCTGCTAGTTGTCTCTTCACTTTGTTGATTGTTTCCATTGCTGTTCAAAGTCTTTTTAACTTGATGTGATCCCATTAATCCATTTTTGCTTTGGTTCCCTCTGCTTGTGGGGTATTACTCAATAATTTTTGCCCAGACCAATGTCCTGGAGACTTTCTCAATTTTTTTTTTTTAGTAGTTTCATAGTTTGAGATCTTAGAATTAAGTCTTTAATCCATTTTTATTTGATTTTTGCTTATGGTGAGATATAGGGGTCTAGTTTCTTTCTTCTGCATATGGATATCCATTTTTCTTAGCACCATTTATTGAAGAGGCTGTCTTTTTTTTTAGTATATAATCTTGGCACCTTAATTGAAAATGAGTTCACTGTAGGTATGGGGATTTGTTTCTGGGCTCTCTATTCTGTTCCACTGGTTTATATGTCTGTTTTTATGCCAGTCCCATGCTGTTTTGTTTACTATAGCTCTGTAGTATAATTTTTTTTATCACCCTCTCTTGATATAGTATAATTTCAAGTCAGGTAATGCAATTCCCCCAGTTTTGTTCTTTTTGCTTAGGACAGATTTGATTAGTCTGGGTCTTCTGTAGTTTATATACATTTTAGGATTATTTTTTCTATTTCTGTGAAGAATGCCATTGGTATTTTGATGAAGATTGCGTTGAATTTCTAGATTGCTTTGGGTACTATGGGCATTTAACAACACTGATTCTCCCAATCCATGAAAATGAAATATCTTTCCTTTTTTTTTTTTTTTTGGTGTTATCACTATTTTAGAGTTTTCATTATAGAGCTCTTTCACTGCTTTGGATAATTCCTAAGTATTTTATTTTATTTGTGACTATTGTAAATAGGATTACTATTTTGATTTCTTTTTTCAGATTGTTTGCTCTTAACAAACAGAACTGCTCCTGATATTTGTATCCTTCAACTTTACTGAGTTTATCAGTTCTAATAGTTTTTGCATGTGTGTGTCTGTTTCTGTGTGGAGTCATTTTTTTTTTATCCATATGTAGATTTTTTTTTTTATTGTTTTGGGGTACATGTGAAGACCATGCAAGATTGTTGCATAGGTACACACAGGGCAGTGTGATTTGCTGCCTTCCTCCCCTTCACCTATATGGCATTTCTCCCCATGCTATCTCTCTCCTCTTCCCCACCCACTGTCCCTCCCCCATTTCCCCCCAACAGACCCCAGTGTGTAGTGCTCCCCTCCCTGTGTCCATGTCTTCTCATTGTTCAACACCCACATATGAGTGAGAACATGTGGTGTTTGATTTTCTGCTCTTGTGTCAGTTTGCTGAGAATGATGGTTTCCAGTTTCATCCATGGCCCTACAAAGGACACGAACTCATCATTTTTGATGGCTGCATAATATTCCATGGTGTATATGTACCACGTTTTCCCTGTCCAGTCTATCATCGGTGGGCATTTGGGTTGGTTCCAGGTCTTTGCTATTGTAAACAGTGCTGCAATGAACATTCGTGTGCATGTGTCCTTATAGTAGAATGATTTATAATCCTTTGGATATATACCCAGGAATGGGATTGCTGGGTCAAATGGAATTTCTGTTTCTAGGTCCTTAAGGAATCGCCACACTGTCTTCCACAATGGTTGAACTAATTTACACTCCCACCAACAGTGTAAAAGTGTTCCTATTTCTCCACATCCTCTCCAACATCTGTTGTCTCCAGATTTTTTAATGATCGCCATTCTAACTGGCGTGAGATGGTATCTCAGTGTAGTTTTGATTTGCATTTCTCTGATGACCAGTGATGATGAGCTTTTTTTCATATGTTTGTTGGCCTCATGTATATCTTCATTTGTAAAGTGTCTGTTCATATCCTTCGCCCACTTTTGAATGGACTTGTTTGTTTTTTTCTTGTAGATCTGTTTTAGTTCTTTGTAAATTCTGGATATCAGATCTTTGTCAGATGGGTAGACTGCAAAAATTTTGTCCCATTCTGTTGGTTGCCGATTCACTCTAATGACTGTTTCTTTTGCCATGCAGAAGCTGTGGAGTTTGATTAGGTCCCATTTGTCTATTTTGGCTTTTGTTGTCAATGCTTTTGGTGTTTTGGTCATGAAGTCCTTGCCTATGCCTATGTCCTGAATGGTCTTGCCTAGATTTTCTTCTAGAGTTTTTATGGTGTTAGGTCTTATGTTTAAGTCTTTAATCCATCTGGAGTTAATTTTAGTGTAAGGTGTCAGGAAGGGGTCCAGTTTGTGCTTTCTGCACATGGCTAGCCAGTTTTCTCAACACCATTTATTAAACAGGGAATCCTTTCCCCATTGCTCGTTTTTGTCAGGTTTGTCAAAGATCAGATGGTTGTAGATATGTTGTGTTGCCTCCGAGACCTCTGTTCTGTTTCATTGGTCTATATCTCTGTTTTGGTACCAGTACCATGCTGTTTTGATTACTGTAGCCTTGTAGTATAGTTTGAAGTCTGGTAGAGTGATGCCTCCCGCTTTGTTCTTTTTGCTTAGAATTGACTTGGCTATGCAGGCTCTCTTTTGGTTCCATATGAAGTTTAAGGTGGTTTTTTCCAGTTCTGTGAAGAAGGTCATTGGTAGCTTGATGGGAATAGCATTGAATCTGTAAATTACTTTGGGTAGTATGGCCATTTTCACGATATTGATTCTTCCTAACCATGAACATGGAATGTTTCTCCATCTGTGTCCTCTCTTATTTCGTTGAGCAGTGGCTTGTAGTTCTCCTTGAAGAGGTCCTTTATGTTCCTTGTTAGTTGTATTCCTAGGTATTTTATTCTCTTTGTAGCAGTTGTGAATGGCAGTTCATTCTTGATTTGGCTCTCTTTAAGTCTGTTATTGGTGTATAGGAATGCTTGTGATTTTTGCACATTGATTTTATATCGTGAGACTTTGCTGAAGTTGCTTATCAGTTTCAGGAAATTTGGGGCTGAGATGATGGGGTCTTCTAGATATACAATCATGTCGTCTGCAAATAGAGACAATTTGACTTCCTCCTTTCCTATTTGAATGCCCTTTATTTCTTTTTCTTGCCTGATAGCTCTGGTTAGAACTTCCAGTACTATATTGAATAGGCATGGTGAGAGAGGGCATCCTTGTCTAGTGCCAGATTTCGAAGGAAATGCTTCCAGTTTTTGCCCATTCAGTATGATATTGGCTGTTGGTTTGTCATAAATAGCTTTTATTATTTTGAGATACGTTCCGTCAATATCTAGTCTATTGAGGGTTTTTAGCACAAAGGGCTGTTGAATTTTGTCAAAGGCCTTCTCTGCATCAGTTGAAATAATCATGTGGTTTTTGTCTTTGATTTTGTTTATTTGGTGAATTACGTTTATAGTCTTGCGTATGTTGATCCAGCCTTGCATCCCTGGAATGAATCCTACTTGATCATGGTGGGTAAGCTTTTTGATTTGCTGTTGCAATCGGCTTGCCAGTGTTTTATTGAAGATTTTTGCATCTATGTTCATCATGGATATTGGCCTGAAGTTTTCTTTTCTTATTGAGTCTCTGCCAGGCTTTGGTATCAGGATGATGTTTGTCTCATAAAATGATTTGGGAAGGATTCCCTCTTTTTGGATTATTTGGAATAGTTTCAGAAGGAATGGTACCAGCTCCCCTTTGTATGTCTGGTATAATTCGGCTGTGAACCTGTCTGGACCTGGGTTTTTTTTTGGGTGGTAGGCTCTTAATTGCTACCTCAACTTCAGACCTTGTTATTGATCTATTCAGGGTTTCAACTTCTTCCAGGTTTAGGCTTGGGAGGAGGCAAGTGTCCAGGAATTTATCCATTTCTTCCAGGTTTACTAGTTTATGTGCATAGAGTTGTTTGTAATAATCTCTGATGATGGTTTGAATTTCTGTGGAATCTGTGGTGATATCCCCTTTATCGTTTTTTATTGTATCAATTCGGTTATTCTCTCTTTTTTTTTTTTTTATTAATCTGTCTAGTGGTTTGTCTATTTTGTGGATCTTTTCGAAAAACCAGCTCTTGGATTTACTGATTTTCTGAAGGGTTTTTTGTGTCTCTCTGTGTGGAGTCTTTAGGATTTTTTCAAAATATAGGATCATATCATTTTCAAACAAGGATAATTTTACTTCTTCCTTTCCAATTTGGAGACCCTTCATTTCTTTCTCTTCTCTGATTGCTCTAACTAGGACTTCCAGTAATATGTTTAATAACAGTGACAAAAGTGTGCATCCTTGTTGTGTTTCCGATCTTAGAGAAAAGACTTTCAATTTTTCCCCATTCAGTATGATAATAGCTGTCGGTCTGTTATATATGGCTTTTATTATGTTGATGTATGTTCCTTCTATATCCAATTCTTTGAGGTTTTTCTTTTAACATGAAGAGATGTTAAATACTAACAAATGCTTTTCTGGTATCAATTGAAATGATCATATGGTTTTCGTCTTTCATTATGATACGTATGATGTATCATATTCATAGACTTGTGTGTGTTCAACTATCCTTGCACTCCTGGGATAAATTCCACTTGGTCATGATGAATATTTTTTTAATGCCATGTTATCTTTAATTAAGTACAAAAATCTTTCTAACATGTCACTAGAGACCATTTTACCCATTGCTCTGTTTGGCTGTCAGTCTCTCGTCTCTCTCTTCAGCAATGGTGAGGCAGATACCCTTTCCTCAGGGAAGAGAAATGCATGTAGTCATCTTCACCAGCACTTTGAAGTGTTCTTCCTCAAAGCATGGGTTGTTAAATATTTCACTCCATAAATGCATCTGTCTGTCAGGTTTCGGTCCAGGCAGAGAGAGGAGAAAAGCACACCCTGCTCGTAGGTGTCCATATGCAAGTTGTCAGGGAGCACATGGGGAGAAGCGGTCATTCCTCTGGTCTTCAGTTCTATTTGCTGAGCCTGCTCCTGGTAGTCAAGAAGGTCACAGCCCAGCTTGGTGAGGATGCTGCAGAAAAGGGGCACATAGGGTCTCAGCTCCTCAGGGAGCGTGTTCAGACTGGAGAAGGCCCAGAAATATACCACACCATTGGTGGGCTGGGCGCAGTACTGAACAGGGATATCTCCAACTGTCAGGACCACTTCCAACTTCTTGATAGGTACAGTGGACTCAATATCTGAAACTTTCAACACTGGCAGACAAGACGCATTTTGAGGTTTGCTTTGTTGATTCCGTAATTCTAAACCTTTCTTGTAGATCTGCTGCCTGTCTCTGGGGGACAAAGTCTCAACCTTCTGCTTGAGCTCTGTGGCTTCTACCTGTGCTTGCTTCTCATGACCCTTGTCATCCGGCCTCATTGATAAAGTCAGCTTATGCTGATTATTCTTAAAATAATGTTTTACTTTTTCTTGCAAAAATTTTGGATTTTTCTGCAGGCGCTGTCTGAATTTAGCCAACTGATTTCCCACTTCAAGAGCTCCACAGGGTTCCCATCATGGTTCCAGCAAGAAGCTATGTATGATGTCAGAGTCAATATGAAGCTGGTAGACTGATGTTTCATCTGTATTTCAATTTTATGAAGTAAAGCTTCAATTTGATCATCTTCAAATCTTTTCTCAACTACTTCATCAATTGTTTTGTCTATGAGTCACCTGATGGTCTCAATGTCTTTCTCCACAATCCCTTGGAGGTCGACTCTGAAGCAGGCCTCCCTTATGTAGCCATTATATCCAACATCAGGAGAAAAGTCTGTGCCAAGGCCAGATTCAATCAAGGCTTTGTAAAAGAGAGTTGGGCCCAGAAATCAAGAGTGAACACAGAAGACTTAGTGTGAATTCTTCAATTGTGTTGGTGATGTCTGGTAAGAGGAAGTTAATGCTGATGGTTGTTTGTTTAGAGGGATCTGCAGAAAATGAATATGGGCTACATGTTATCTGGAATTCCACTGCAGTGCTCGGTTCAATTTTCTGAAATTTGCTCAGTGCTTCCTCATGAATTTGTTTCAGATGCTGTTCTAACAGAAAATTACCATGCGTGAATAACCTAGCATAGCTTAAGTGATAGTGAGTGGCATGAAATTGCTTAAGTTGCCCCCATGTAAGCTCCAGTATGCACAATGGATCACCCCCAGAGACCACTGAGTAAGTGTGGTCTGGAAGAAGTCTCTTCTGAAGGTGATGGGAGAATATCCTCTCATTGTCTGTAAATGCTCCCTTCACCTTATTAAAGCAGACTCCTTTAAAGACCAAGGGCATCTGGGGGTCATTCAGACCTTCCTGCCAGAAATCCAGCTCTGGTAAACATGGGAAAAAGGCAGCATCCAAATACACTGAGATGAGATTCTGAAAGTCCTTGGGATTTTGTGTGGAAAATGGATACAGAGTATAATCACTGTGGAGGGGTTTATGAAAGTGGATAGGGACCAGTTCAACATTTTGAAGAAAGGGTCTCTGCATGGATATTTCTGAGACCCACGAAGGATGGTATGCTAAAGAATGTGAGAAACACTGGTGCTGTCCATAGGAGTAGTGCAGAATTGCATGCTGAACAGATTATTTGTGTCTTCTCTGGCCAGGTTTAAATATCTGGCTCCTGTGTCATCACGGCTGAGGTTCACTGCAGTCAGAAACAGCTCAGGACCAGATGTCACCTGGTTTATGGTGAATCCGTGGATTTTATCTCCTAGTTTATGCTGTAGAGCCCTCTCACAAGCCCAGTTACTGTTCCATCACCACGCTTTGTGGTGTGCATGTCTGCTACTCAGCTGCCTCAACCACCTAGGCCCTGCCGCCTGCCACAGCGCCATGTGGCCTGTCTTCATTTCTTTTTACTGCTGAATTTTGTAAACATTCTTAAATGCTCATAACTGAATCCAAGACCCTAGAAATGGTTCACTCTGGTGAACATAGCAGAAAGAATGACTACCTTCTTCCTTAACTGGAACACTGTCGATTGCAATCAAAGATCAACTTAGCATTCTCAGTAGTCAGATTGCAAAATGATCTCGTTTAGGCTCCAGTTAACTAAAAATCCCACGTTATTTTCACATGGATTGCTGTTCAGCAATTGCTAGGACTCATATATTTTGAACCCAAGTACAATATTTAACACAACATTTTTTTCTTTTATAGCATGTAAAAATTGAGATATATACTTTATATAACATGGAATTCAACATTTTGCATGTCTATTTCAGTATATTGACTATGGTGAGCAACTATCACCACTACATACTTCAAGAACATTTCCATCACCCTAGAAAGAAACCCCATACCTATTAGCAGTTAGTCCGTATTCTCCCCTTCCTCATCCCTTGGTAACTACTAAACTACTTTTTGTATCTATTTGTCTATTCCAGACATTTCATTAAATGAACCATACAATATGTGGTCTTTTGTGTCTGGTTTCTTTCACTTAGCATGTTTTCAAGGTTCATTTGTGTGGTAACATATAACAACTGCACTTCTTTTATGATTGAATAATATTTCGTTGTACATATATACTACATTTTGTTTATCCATTCATTAGATACAGTGTTTGGCCAGAGAGGCTCAAACCAAGTCTGACAGACAACCTCTGACTTGGGTCAGGAATGAGAAGCAAAGGCAATAAGAGAAGATGACCCGTTAATGTGTTACAGAGAGATCCCCTGAGACAGTGGTGTGTACAGCCAAAAATCTAGCAGAGGCTGTGGCTTCTTTCTGAGTCTGGAATGAAACAATGGAATAATCAGTTTGGATGTTATGTCCAAGACCTTTGCTGAAGATGGAATGGCATGAAGTTTGCCAAGATTTGTTAAGTATAGTAGTTTTCACACTTTTTAGCTTGAGTCAGTCACCTGGAGGGCTTGTTAAAACATAGATTGCTTGACCCTACTCCCTGAGTTTACGACTCAAACTCAGGACAGTGTTGGGGCCTGAGAATTGGTATTTCTAGCAAGTTCCCCAATGATGCTTATGCTGCTGGTCCAGGGACCACACATATTTTGAGAACTTCTGCCTTAGTAAATGAATTTATCCCACTGAAAAGTATTTTGAAGAGAGGTGGTCCCCACTATCACTCCTTCAGGACTTTCCCTGCCCAGTGACTTTAGTACTGGAGTTTGCCATGGCTTCGTTACTTGTCTTATATGATCCATATGTTCACCCTACTTAGGTTTCTTTTAGGGAGATAACTGGAATAAAGAATAAATAATATGTTCTTAGTGTGATTCATGAAGCTGTAACAACTGGAGGAAGGTAAGTGAAATGAAAAGGATCCTAAATTGATGCTCTTACTTCTTATAGTGATCCTTGGCCAATCTGAGGTTTCCTTGAGGTCCTTCTTGGAAACTATCAATTAGTTTTCTTAGCAACCAGCCAGCTGGCATGGACTTCATGGAGTTGGAAGGTGAGAGAATAGAACAGGAGCCATCATTCACATGCAATGAGAGGTGCGATGCATTGGGGTTGGCGAAGTCTGTGGTAGAAACACATGATTACAATTGTAGTATTGTTAGCAGGAGGTAAAACAACAAAAGTACTTTTTAAATACTTTTCCAGATGCCTTGCCAAGAAGGCTGAAAGATGGAGTGTGAGGAACTGGCAGTAGCCCAGTGGACTTGGATATACAGGGCTTTGGAAATTTGTCTCCCTCAAATACAAAGAGACAAACTTGAGACCATTATCAAATAAAGACAACATCGTTAGAGGTGATAGGACAACAATATGGTTCCTATGTTGCTTTCTGACCATGTGGAGCAGAGCCACCCTGTCAGCCGGGACTGCACATCCTCTGGAATGTTTAGAGGGGCAAATTCTACTTTTTAACAAAGCCACTGTACTTTTAAATTTCTTAATTAAAGCAGTTTAGTCTCCTTTAACAAGTATGGGTATATTATAAATATATACCATGAATATTTGGAGATAAAAGACATGAAATTATAAAAATAAAGGTAGTGTACAATTAAGTGCTAAGTCAGAGGAAGGGGGAATCACTTTGGTCTAGAGATGTCAGAAAAGGCTTCTGTTTCAATTAGGGTTTTCCAGAGAAACAAACTCTATTTTATATGTGCGTACAACACACACACACATGCACACGCATGCATGCACGCGCGCGCGCGCACACACACACACACACGTCAGAGACTTATTTTAAGAAATAAGAAATTGGCTCATGCAATGTGCAATGTGGGGGCTGGCAAGTCTGAAATCCATAGTGTAGGCAGGCAGGCAGGCTGGAAACTCAGGAGGAGTTAATGTTGCAGGTTTGAGACAGAATTTCTTCTTGGGTAAACCTCAGTTTTTGCTCTTAAGGCCTTCAACTGATTTGATGAGGTCTACCGGCCTTATTCAGGGTAATCTTTACTTAAAGTCAATTGATCATAGATGTTAACCACAGCTACAAAATATCTTCACAGCAACATCTAGATCAGTGCTTGATCAAATAACTCAGTACTATAGCCTAACTCAGTTGACATGTAAAATTACCCATCACAACTTCTCATAAAAAGTGGTATTTGACTTTGACCTTGAAGAATGGATAAAATTTAAATAAGCACATGACTTACATCAGGCTGATTTTTGCATGCTTCTTATCTGGCCATGTGTTCCTGGAGCTATAATAACTTTCCTCAAGGATATAAACAGCCTAATTTAAGCCATGGCTCCATATGGAGAAAGAGATAATTTAAACCCGCAGTCTGGTTCAATCAGTGAGTTAAATGCTGCAATTCTGAAGGGCCATTTGTTTATATAATGCAATATTGAATGGTGCAAGTGGCCCTGATGGTTCTACACATGGACACTGGCATGATGCATTTGCAGATTGCTTCTGTGAAGCTCTGGCAAGAACAGAACATTAGCCCAATAGAAGTTCCCTGGTCACACACACAGGCACAGACACAATGTCCAGTTAACTTTGGAGGCTTGCATATGGCTTCCAGCAACTTAGATGGCACAACTTCTGGGTGAAGGTGGGTCACAACACTTACACAATTTACAAATTTTTGTGAAATTCAAGTACTCAAACTTATTACTGAGAAACAGGAAAGCCCTCAGCTGAAGCAGATCTCAACTCAAGCAAAGGTGTGCTTTTATTTGAGAAGAGAAGGAAAAAAATTCATTTGCTTTAAATCAGGACTGTCACTGGGTCTACAAGTAGGCAACTGTGTGGAATGATCCCACCAGATGGCTTCCTCGCCTGCTGCAAAGTCTCTACCATCTGCTGCAATTTATCAGCACTGGAGCTTCATTTTCTTCTGCTAAGGTTTGATCACTTCTAAAATGTTATAGGCTTTCTGAGAAAAAGATTTGATAGAGAGAAAGAACAGAGACTGCAGGAACCTGAGGATAAAAGGATTCAGAAGTTAAATGCAGTTATCCCTGAAGATAAAATCTGCCAAATTTACTGCAAGTTAAACTACTCTTAGTACCTGGTAGGAAAACTTAAGTCCAACTCAGTGTGTGCTATCGATCTTGGTCCTATTTGTTCACAGAAAAAATGTAGAGTATATGAATGGATATAATCCCTGTTAAGACAGTTTAAATGTAAGACTTTGGCCCTTAAGAGGTAACTACTAGAAGTCCGCATTCTTCCCCAACTGCCATTATAAAACCTAGATAACTAGATAAAAGAGAAACAACCATTCGCGGATATTGAACAATAGGCAGTGCAGCACTATGATGTTCAAGAGAAAGGAATAAAATAAGATGAATCCTACAATTGCTCTGGCTTTCTTCCTGGAAGCAATTTTCTGGCAGTGGCTCAGGAAGAAGGAACCCAAATAGAGTCTGGTGGTCTTACTGAGCGGAGACAGAGATCATTAATAGTGGACAGAAGGGAGCTTTACAGTGAAAGGGATCCAGATTATCTATACAGAGGTCTTTTTGAGACTTTGACTATCAATTTGTGGATGCAAAGGGTGAAACTTTATGAGATGGAACAAAGTGCTGGGAAAGAGCAATTATTGGGACACTGTAAGCCAAGTAACTCTCAAAGCTTGCACAGGATTGGGACTGAATCAGGTTCCCACTAACTAGAGTGAAGAAACTTTGCTGAATACATGGAGAATTCAGTAGCCACCTCAGATAAGTCAAACTTTAATAGGGAGCCTAAACCAGACCTAGAGTAAGGCTACTCCAGATAAACTCCCTGCCAGAAAACCTTAAAAGCAAGTCTGGAAAAGATTAAGATAACCTGTAAATAACTTTCTGCTACAGTACAGGTAATCTTTAAAGGAATACAATAATATCCAGTACTCAGCAATGTAAAATTTAAGTCCAACATCCAATAAGAATTACTAGAGGCCAGGTATGGTGGCTCATGCCTGTAATTCCAGCACTTTGGGAAGCTGAAGTGGGTGGATCACTTGAAGTCAGGAGTTTGGGACCAGCCTAGCCTGACCAACATGGCAAAACCCTATCTCTACTAAAAATACAAAAATTAGCCAGGCATGATGGCGGGTGCCTGTAATCTCCGTTACTCGGGAGGGTGAGGCAGAAGAATCACTTGAAGCTGGGAGACAAAGGTTGCAGTGACCCAAGATCCTGCCACTGAACTCCAGCCTGGGCAACAGAGCAAGACTCCATTTCAAAATAGTAATAATAATAATTACTAGACATAAGAAAGTGTGGCTCATAACCCAGAGAAAAATCAGTTGACAGAAACAGACCCAGAAATGACAGATGACGAAATTAATTAGACAAGAACTTTAAAAGACTTATCAGAAAAATATAAATAAGCTCAAGGATTTAAAAGAACATATGAACACAATAAAGAAATAAATTGAAGACATAGAAACCTTGGGGTAAAACACAAAATAAATTTTTTAGATGAAAGATAAAATATCTGAAGTGAAAAATTTACTGGACAAAATTATATAGCAGGCTAGATACCACAAAAGAATAAACCATGAAGCTAAAGATAATACAATACAAATAATCTAAAATGAGGCACAGAGAAAAAAAGATTGTAATAGTATGGTACAAGCAGTGGCAGAATAGAGGTCCTTGGGGCTAAAATAGTTAAAACTGTTTCTCTCCACTTGAAAAATGACTGCAGGTCTAGATGGGCAAGGCATTTGTCACTAATTGGAAGGTGAAAATGTGGAAAATCAGGCTGAGATATCCACTGATCAGAGGATACATTTTTTAATGTTGCTGAATAGTTGGATGTCTTCTTCCTTCCTCAGTCTCTTGTCTATTCCTTTCAGAGAAAAAGCTTGATGTGAAAGTACAAACTTTCCACGATAAAGAACATGTTCTTTAGCCACATATGCACAGTTGTCCCTTGGTATCTGTGGAAGATCGGCTCCAGGAGCCCCCATGGATAGCAAAATCCATAGATGGTTGTGTCCCTTGTATAAAATGGTATAATATTTACATATAACTGATGCATATTCTCCTATATATTTTACTATATATTTTAAATCATCTCTGGATTGTCTATAATATCTAGTACAAGGTAAATGCCTTGCAAATAGTTGTTATCTATATTGGTCTTAAATTTTGTATATTTTAATTCTTTTTATTTTCAAATATTTTAAAATCCATGGTTGGTTGAATCTGGGAATGTGGAATCCACAGATATGGAAGACTAACTGTGCTTGAATTAGGCTCTGCCTTTGCTCTTAGTTCCTCATGCCTGAACCCACTTATCTCCCACAGAATATTCAGCCCCATTCTAGTAATCAGACCAAGCCAGAGGCAAGAGACTAGAGAATCACTCATAGACTTTCACCATCTCAGCTCAGAAATGGCACATGTCCTTTGTACTCATGTTTCATTGGCCAAAACCAGGCATGTGGGTCTGCCCAATTGCCAAGGGGCCAGAAAATGTTAAGAAGCAAATGGGAGACACAAAGAAAGTGTGGCTCATAACCCAGAGAAAATGCAACTCATTACTCACACTTTTACACATTTTGGCTCATCACCAAATGGGAACTTGGTGAGCATTGCTGTCTGTTCATATTATCCCTTCCCTTTCTCCAGTCATCTAGTTTACTTTTCCAGAGGGAAGCCCATTACCAGTGTCTTCTGCCAAAAAATTCTATTATTACAAACACACACATACATGCTATATATGTATATATACACACATATGTGTGTGTGTGTGTATATATACATACACATATGTGTGTATATATTCACATATATGTAGATGTATATATACTTAAATAACACTTTGCTATACATATGTGTATATATATATGTGTGTATATACACATATATGTAGATGTATATATACTTAAATAACACTTTGCTATACATATGTATACATATGTGTGTATATACACATATATGTAGATGTATATATACTTAAATAACACTTTGCTATACATATGTGTACATATGTGTGTGTATATATACACATATATGTAGATTATATATACTTAAATAACACTTTGCTATACACTTTTCTACACTTTTTTCACTTAATCATATGTCTTAGAGATCTTTCCATCTCTGTACACGATAATTTTCTTATTTTTCATTTTTAAGAGGGGTTAATTTTTATATTTTGCTACATTCATATGATTCAAAAGAGAAACTACCTCTGTCCTCTATCTGTTCACACACCTCATTCTTAGGTGATCACTGTTATTAGCTTTTGTACATCCTTCCAGAGGTTCTTGATGCACATAGAAGCAAAATCTAGATATGTCCTTGTTTACTACCTTTTTACACGAAAGGTATCGTACTATGTATGTTGTTCTAAACCTTTTTTAAAGTTTAACAATATATATTGAGGATATTTCCCTATTAATACATGAAGAACTTTCTCATTCTTTCTTTAAAAATGTATAGTATGTATACAGTTGTATAGTATCCCATTGTATGTATGTATCATATCATTCCCCAGTTCCTTATGAACT